GAGCTCGCAGTTCGTCGCGACTTTTACTTCTCAGCGTCCTCCAGTCTCTCTCTGAGGCTTCCTGGGCCCATAACCTGTTGTCAGAATTCGCTACGCAGCAGCCCAGTGTGAGCCTCCTTTAGCACTGTGCGAGAAAAAGACGAGCAGTCCACACAGATTCATTTCACACAAGCAAGGTGCCATGGTTTATTTAGGGCGGGGTTAAATAAGGTCCGGCCGTGACGTCATCAATCAATAAACAAATAATGCATTCAGAGCATAACAGAAAATACAATACAATTAACAAGTGATATATTCCAAAAAGCATGTTGGCATCTGCACCTGGGGTAGTAAACAGAGAGTACTTTACAAGTCTCATAAAAGAACCACGACCAACCAACGTGTTTAGTTTGGACTCTCCAAAGACAGACTCTATCAGGGGTAACGCTTGCTGTTACAGTATGTGTCCACCAGGTGTCACTAGAGCTCTGATATTGAACACTGCTTTATGATTGTGGGATTGGTCAAAATAAGGTTACAACATCTTCTTTGGCAGGGAAAGTGTATACCGGTTGTGCTAATAAATACCTACATGGATTATTAAAACAAATAGGTGTAAGAAAGAACAAGAATTTGGGCCAATGGGTAAATGTATTTGAAATATTTCCAAAGCTGCCAATATTTAGAGATGCTTTAGTCTTAGGTCAAATAATGCAATGGATTTATAAAGCGCTCATTTGGACTCGCTTCCTGTGTCATTATTCATTCACTCCATACACAGTGGTTATATACTTCAATTGTAGCCACAGCTGCCCTGGGACACACTGACAGAAGCGAGGCAACCTGTATGTGCCATCGGCCCCTCCGACCACCCCCAACCATTCACACACACACCAGACTCATTCTGGGCTATGTGGGTGAAGTGTCTTGCCTAAGGACACACAGTTTGGCACTTTAAGGCCGCAGCCGCCCCACTGTGGCACCGTGTGTTCTCAGAGGTCTCCCATCACAGTTCTAACCAGGCCCTGTCCTGATTAGTTTCAGAGGACTGACAATATAGCTTTCAAATACAGGTGGTGCTACTATAATCTACTCTACCTTACTTGAGTAAAAGTATACAACTTTTGCATGTTTAAGTATAAAGTAATGATCATAATATATATAATATTACATTTTATTTAAAAGCGCCCAAGGACACTTTACAGGACATAACAAAAACATGAAAGTAAAGTCATGTTTTACTGAATAATTGACGGACATTATGCGGCACTATTATACAACATTATAAGAGTTAGGGTTTAAAAGAAAGTGAGTGAGTGATCAGGAATGTGAGTGGTAGAAAGTATAGATATTTGAGTAATAAAGTTATCAGAAGTGCCTTTCATAGACCAGGATCACAAAGCGCTTCACAAAGAGGATAACAGTACAGAAAAGTACAAGGAAAAACTACTGAAGTACAGTACTCTGCCAATCTCCTCTTTCAAGTCCTGAGTAGCTCTGAAACAGTTGTTGTTTTGTGCTTTACTGCAGAACAGTGATTCAGACCAGAGCAGAGAGGATTCACGCTCTGAACCAAACAGATCAAGTGTAAATCCACAGGAGGAATGCTTCTTTCTTTTGAAAGATGATGAAGAATTCAGTTCAATTCATTAACCAAAGGAAGCAGCTCATCACCAGAGGATGTTCCACCTCTGCTGCTGTGACCTTATTACTATTGTTAGTTTTTCATAGTTAGTAACTAATTATAAATGTATTGAAATGTATTTTCTGTTTGTATGAATCTATCTATCTATCTATCCTCTCTCCACAGCCAGCCCTTAGCAACAATCCTATACCTTTAACTTTATCTTCCTCTTTATCTCCTCAATAAAATCATACTCACCCCGTGGGACTAAGCCATTGTTTACTTAGTGATCAGTTAACCATAGAATCCTCACGGCCATTTGGCTTTTACTACAAGATTTATATTCTTTGTGGCTCCACACAGCTTTTATTAGCACCATTAAATCTGTGTCCCACTCCCATAAACGTAACATGTTGAAAAAAACAGGCAGACCTTCAATGCTAACGCTGGTGGCTAATTCTTCATTTAGAGGGAAAAGTAGAACATCAAAAACATCTTTTTGTGGTTCTGATGGAGGAAGATACTATCAAAGGTTCAAAGAAAGCATCACTCACTCAAGCTGCAGGTTTGTCCAATCAGAGAGCAGACTCTCCATCTCCATATCAACAAGAAGTTGACAGCCGCCATTGTTGTTTGTTTGTTCTACTGCTCATGCATGGATCCATCATAATATCTAGATGGGGTATTACGAGCTTATAGCTGTCCCACCCATGGGCACAGGGGCGCCCCCTGCAGACTAAAATTACATGGGCTACCCAGAAAAATGTCCCATAGAACTCAATGTCAACTAAAAGGCAGCAGAACACAGAAACTACAGCATTCATTAAGGTCAGGAAATCCTTCAGTTTTCTTTAAATCCACACTAATGCAACAAACTCTGCTCATTTTCTTCCCGCTCTAGCTGCGCTCTAACTCTGATCAGAGTGAGAGCCACACACGCATATTTGCCACAACGCATCATGGGAGCTCGTCCACTGCACAGAACCGGGAGGACCAGACTATGCCCAAGTATGAGCGAGTTCTGCTAATTTTTCGGTCCTCATGCATGTCCCATGCACTACTGAGCACATGCCCATGATTTCAATAGGGCGCCATCTTGGATCAACAGGGCTTTGTTGATGTTGCTGTTCCACTCTGTAGGCTGGTTCTCAACGCTTTTCACCATAGACTGTAAATATTTTCGGACGTAGTCACGCCTATCTCCGCCATTCTAACTAATGGGCCAAAAATTGGGCTTTCATGAAGTGATTCAAAATGGCATCGGGGGCTGGAAAATGTGAAAAAACACATCTGCGCATGCGTCAGCCGGCACGAGCCCGATTCACTCTTTGACCCACATGTTTTTTTAGCTAATATGATTTGAAATTGAAACTTTTTAAGGTGAAAAAAACTTTAAAATTGTTACTTATACTTCAAAGGCAATGTTTAGAGGATTCATGCAATGTAAAACTTTAAAACAAATTACAACTGAATTTATAGTAAACCCATGTATTTTTTCAGATGGAAAAAACACAGCATTGAGGATGTTGTGGAGATGATTATCAATAGGCATTCAGGTGACATGAAGGAATACATTGTTATAAAAATATAAATACTTTTTTTCTGATAGAAAACACTAATATGGTTTGAAGATGGTTCTGTTCATACTGGCAAACAAATACCCGATGTATCAAAAGTGATACAACTCAATAGTCATATTTGCAGATTGAAATTTTATTTTTTGATATATATTTATGTTACAGGGCTCAGTAATCTCACCAGTCTACAAACATTTGAATTTTCTAGGAATTATTTCATGGACTGGGCTTTATAGGGTTAAACGAGTGACATATAAAAAATTCACAGCAACTGGTCCAAAAAAATTCACGTGCGCATGTCAGCGCATGTCATTTTGGCCACTTTTGAGCCGGGACCCGCCCCCACTGGTTGGTACTTGTTCCATCCATCCATCCATTTTCTTCCGCTTTATCCGTTGCCGGGTCGCGGGGGCAGCAGTCTAAGCAGAGACGCCCAGACTTCCCTATCCACACACACTTCCTCCAGCTCGTCCGGGGGGACCCCAAGGCGTTCCCAGGCCAGCTGAGAGACATAGTCCCTCCAGCGTGTCCTGGGTCTTCCGCGGGGCCTCCTCCCGGTGGGGCGTGCCCGGAACACCTCCCCAGGGAGGCGTCCAGGAAGCATCCGGAACAGATGCACGAGCCACCTCAACTGGTTCCTCTCGACGTGGAGAAGCAGCGGTTCTACTCCGAGCTCCTCCCGTGTGACTGAGCTCCTCACCCTATCTCTAAGGGAGCGCCCAGCCACTCTGCGGAGGAAGCTCATTTCGACCGCTTGTAACCGCGATCTCGTTCTTTCGGTCATTACCCACAGCTCATGACCATAGGTGAGGGAGGGAACGAAGATTGACCGGTAAATCGAGAGCTTTGCCTTTCGGCTCAGCTCCCTCTTCACCACAACGGTCCGATACAGCGACCGCATCACTGCGCACGCTGCACCGATCCGCCTGTCAATCTCACGCTCCATCCTCCCCTCACTCGTGAACAAGACCCCGAGATACTTGAACTCCTCCACTTGAGGAAGGACCTCTCCACCCACCTGCAGAGGGCAAGGCACCTTTTTCCGGTCGAGCACCATGGCCTCGGATTTGGAGGTGCTGATTCTCGGTACTTGTTCATTTCTTTTAATTGTTTGGTGTTTATCTAGTCATAGTTTGTAAATTAACCCGAGGTATTAGTTCTACCTAATTAGTTCAGTTGTATTTACTATGTATTTGTACAACACAAATCTAAATGTACATTATTTCTGTTTTATTTTATAGTTTCACTCGAGCTTTTCACAAAATGTAACTTGCCTACAAGTCCTGTATTAAAGGAGCAAGGCCTTCAGTTTCCTGGCTCGTGAAGACTGGGTTTGGCTTGCTGTTGATCCACGTTAACATACACCACGTATCCAACACATATTGATTACAGTACGGACACATTTGGCGTAAGTCCTTGCCTGCTACTACAATCAACCGCACTGCACAATACCACAGTTTTGGCTGTTATTCTGTGAAACGGGTTGTTTTGGTCAAGTTTCCGAAGGCTCGCAGTTGAGTAAATGTGGTATCCCACACTGCCACCTATAGGTTTGTGGTAAGATAACACTATCCTATATTACAGTAAACAATGAGACTTCCACCGTCTGTCACGAAGAGTGGGCGTGGCCGGGACGTCACATGCATGGGGTCAACAGGATCTCTTAATCTTAAATACATCTTTAAATATCTCTCTCTATGCAAAAGTCACTGCTCTATGAAAATGGTGTGTTCAGTCTCGGTTGCTGTGGTGACTATCTCTGCTCAGAATGGAATCCAGAGTGATTCCTATGATCCTGGTTGCTATGGCTACAGTTTGTTATGTCACCTTCTGGAATAACAGGACTTTACCAACCTGAGTCTGGGTGCAACACCAGGGCAGGGAGTCCACGGGAGAGAGTCCACGGGAGGAGTCAACGGGAGAAGTTAACGGGAGGCGTCAACGGGAGGCTTCAACGGGAGGCGTCAACGGGAGGCGTCAACGGGAGGCGTCAACGGGAGAGAGTCCAGGAGAGGAGTCCAGGAGAGGAGTAAACAGGGGAGAAGTCCTTAGACCGTTGTGAGAAAGGTTAGTTTTACCAGACTGCTGATGTGTTGTACGACCCCCCGTCGTACTCTCCCCCCTCAGAACTCGCTCTCTGGACCCCCTCCACGCGACTTTCCCCCCTTTGAATTCTCTCTCCAGGGGAAAGAGTCCAGGGAAGAGTGTCCGGGGGGGAGTCCAGGGGAGAGAGTCCAGGGAAGAGAGTCCAGGGAAGAGTGGCCGGGGGGGAGCCCAGGGGAGAGAGTTCAGGGAAGAGTGTCCAGGGGGGAGTCCAGGGGAGGGAGTCCAGGGGAGAGAGTCCAGGGGAGAGTGCCCGGAGGAGTCCAGGGGAGAAATTCACCCCTGAACGTTCTCCCCTGGACATTCACTTCGGCTCTCTCCCCTTGGACTCTTTCCTCTGGTCTCCTCCCCTGGACCCTCTTCCCCCTGGATCCCCCGCCCTGACTCTCCCACCTCTGAACTCTCTCTCCAGGGGAGGGAGTCCATGGAAGAGTTCCTGGAGGGGGGAGTACAGGAGGGTTAGGGTTAGTCCCTCCTGGACTCCTCCTCTGGACTCGTCCCCTCAACTCTTCCTCTGGAATTTTCCCTTGAACTCCCCCTCTGGACTCCACCCAACCTGGACTCTGTCCCCAGGACCCCCTCGTACTGTCCCCCTTCAGAACTCTCTCTCCAGGGGAGAGCGTCGAGGGAAGAAAGATCGGGGGAGAAAGTCCAGGGGAGAGAGTCCATAGGGGAAGAGTCAAAGGTCCCCCTTGACTCTGAGGACCTCGGCTCTCTCCTCCTGGACTCCCCTCTAGACTTTTTCTCCCTGGACTCTCTCCCCCCTTGGCCCCTTCCTGACTTTTCCCTTGCTGAACACTACCTCCATTAGCAGTCTCACTTTGGGAGTCCAGGGGGGAGAATCTAGGGGGTAAAGTACAGGGGGGAAGACTCTCACCTCGGCTCTCTCCCCCAAGACTCCCTCTCCCTGGACTCTCTCCCCCCTGGACTCTCTCCCCTCACTGAACTCTCTCTCCAGGGAAGTGTTCTATACGTTCAATATGTTCTGTATGTTCTATATGTTTAATATATTCTATATGTTATATATGTTTATACGTTCTATATGTTCATTATGTTCTATATGTTAAATATGTTTTATATGTTTAATATGTTCTATATTTTTTATATATTCTATTTTTTCTATAAGTTCAATATGTTTGATAAGTTTAATTTTTTCAATATGTTAAATATTTTCAATATGTTCTATATTTTCTATTTGTTCTATATGTTCAATATGTTTTATATATTCTATATGTTTAATATGTTTTATATTTTCTATATGTTCAATATGTTGTATATGTTATATATGTTATACATGTTAAAGGAATAGTTCACCGTTTTTACATACTGACATATGTTCTTACCTTACCTTAGACTAGTTAATATGTACCTGTCTGGTCTTAGTCCGTGCGCTCTGTCATGCAAACGGAGCAAAAACGGGAGCACAAACGGGAGCACAAACGCAGCCTCCTCTGTATACTGTATAGTACCCAAAAGGTAGCTCCCGCTAGAAGCTACCAAACTCTTCCAAGTGTTCCCTATTAAATGTATATAGTTACGTGACGTGTTACACTGCAAAGTATAGTAACACAGAAATGTAACTGTCGATTTTCTCAGCGGATAAAACGGGTACTATATTGTGAGGCGTAGTAATCTGAGGAGCGCTACGTCCGCGCACTAACTTCTCTCCGTACTACAAGTCACGCTGCTTCTATTGACGGAAGTGAGCGAGAGAGAAGTCTAGTAACACATTTCTGTGTTACTATACTTTGCAGTGTAACACGTCACGTAACTATATACATTTAATAGGGAACACTTGGAAGAGTTTGGTAGCTTCTAGCGGGAGCTACCTTTTGGGTACTATACAGTATACAGAGGAGGCTGCGTTTGTGCTCCCGTTTTTGCTCCGTTTGCATGACAGAGCGCACGGACTAAGACCAGACAGGTACATATTAACTAGTCTAAGGTAAGGTAAGAACATATGTCAGTATGTAAAAACGGTGAACTATTCCTTGAAATATTTTCAGTATGTTCTATATGTTTTATGTGTTCTATATATTCATTATGTTCATTTTGTTCAATATCTTTTATATACTCAATACGTTCAATATGTTATATATGTTATATTTGTTCTATATGTTCAATTTGTTCTAAATGTTCTATCTGTTCAATATGTTTAATATATTCTATATGTTCAATTTGTTCAATATGTTCTATATGTTTTTATGTTTGTATGATCATTATGTTCTATATGTTTAATAATTTTTATATGTTCAATATGTTGTTTATGTTATATATGTTATACATGTTAAATATTTTCAGTATGTTCTATATGTTTTATGTGTTGTATATGTTCATTATGTTCTATATGTTCTATTTGTTATATGTTCTATATGTTAAATGTGTTCTAAATGTTCAATTTTTAAAAAATATTTTCTTCATGTTCAATATATTCTATATGTTATTTATCTTCTCCGTGTTAAATTTGTTCTATATATTCTATATGTTCTTTATGTTCTATATGTTCAATATGTTCAGTATGTTATGTAAAAAAGATATGTTTTATAAGTTTAATATATTCTATATGTTTCATCTGTTTAATATGTTTTATATTTTCTATATGTTCATTATGTTCAATATCTTTTATATGTTCAATACGTTCAGTATGTTATCTATGTTATATTTGTTCTATATGTTCAATATGTTCTATATTTTATATATGTTTTATATGTTCAATTTGTTCTATATGTTCAATTTGTTCTATATGTTCTATGTGTTTTACATGTTCTATATGTTCTATTTGTTCAAAATGTTTATATATGTTTTTTAAGTTCAATATGTTTAATGTATTTAATATGTTCTTTATTTTTAATTTGTTCAATATGTAAATTATGTTCTATAGGTTCAATTCTTTAATTATATTCAGTATGTTATATATGTTCTATATGTTTTATAAGTTTAATATGTTCTATATGTTCAGTATGTTTTATATATTCTATATGTTTCATATGTTTAATATGTTTTATATTTTCTATATGTCCAATATGTTGTATATGTTATATATGTTATACATGTTAAATATTTTCAGTATGTTCTATATGTTTTATCTGTTCTATATGTTCATTATGTTCATTTTGTTCAATATCTTTTATATACTCAATACGTTCAATATGTTATATATGTTATATTTGTTTAATCTTTTCTATATGTTCTTTATGTTATATGTGTTCTATATGTTAAAAATGTTCTACATGTTCTATTTGTTTAATATGTTCTATGTGTTTTATGTGTTCAATATGTTCTATATGTTTTATAAGTTTTATATGTTTTATATGTTCTATATGTTTTATATGTTCTATTTGTTCTACATTATATGTTCATTATGTTCTATATGTTCATTACGTTCTATATGTTCTATATGTTTTATATATTCTATATGTTCTATATGTTAAATATATTCAATATATTCAATATATTCTATATTTTCAATATGTTTTATATGTTTAATATGTTCTATATGTTAAATATATTCAATATGTTCTATTTTTCTATATGTATTATATATGTTTTATATATTCTATTTTTTCTACATGTTCAATATGTTCAATATGTTCAATATGTTTTATATGTTAAATATGTTCTATATGTTCTTTTTGTTCTATATGATCAATACGTTCTATATGTTGTATATGTTATATATGTTCCAAATGTAAAATATTTTCAATATGTTCTATATGTTCTATTTGTTTTATATGTTCAATATGATTAATATGTTCTATATGTTTTATATTTTCTATATGTTCAATTATTTCTCTATGTTCAATATTTTCTTTATGTTCTATGTTTTACATGTTCTATGTGTTCAATTTTTTTCTGTGTTTTATTCGTTCAAAATGATTATATATGTTATATACGTTTAATGTTTTATATGTTCTATGTATTCTATATGTTCTATATGTTAAACATGTTCTATATGTTTTATATGTTCAATATATTCAGTATGTTCTATATGTTTTATATGTTAAATAAGTTAAATATGTTATATATGTTCTATATGTTCAATATGTTTTATTCGTTCTAATGTTTTATGTTTAATATGTTCTATATTTTTTGATAAATTCTATTTTTTCTATATGTTTATATTTTCTATGAGTTTTTGAAGTTTAATATGGTCTATATGTTTTATACTTTCGATATTTTTTTCAGTTCAATATGTTCTATATGTTCTTTCTTTTCAACATATTCTATATGTTTATTATCTTTTATATGTTCAATACGTTCTATACATAGTTCCCACAGACCAATGAATGTCACATGACCTCCTCGGAGACGCCATCTTTGATGGCACGCTGCTGTGTTTGTGCATTCCATTAAACAGAAGAATGAGAATAAATGTAGATATTCAAACGCAAATTGGAAAAAAAGGGCAACTTTTGAGCAAATAATTGTATATTAATACAATGGCACCACAGTTTAACGTGCTACGGACATGTTTTACATATTTGATCAAATTATGCAGCAAAAATTAACAAGCAATGCAAACATTTCTCAAAAACTTTAGATTTAATACCAGTTGGAGCTCCATTTAATTATTTTAATTATATTAACAATTAATTTAATTAATGCTAATGCCACACGGACACTCTGGATTGCTGTTATTGTTTATTTCCGCGTTTTTGACCGTATGTTTTGGTGAATGGTGGGCAACTGATTTTTCCAGGCGTAAAAAGCAGTTTATTTTATGACACAGATCTTTTTACAGAAGCAATGCTGTTTGTGAACATTGTTCGTACGTTTCAGCTTCTTTTTCTATTGTTTTGCCCACAGAATGCCAACACAAATGGCGCCGGGTCGGCAAATCCCCGTATGTAGTGACGTCATGTGGGAACTATGTATATTTTTTATGTTTTATTTGTTCAATATGTTCTTTGGGTTCTATGTTCAATATGTTCTATATGTTCTATACGTTCAATATGTTAAATATTTTCTATATATTTTATATGTTTAATATGTTCTATGTGTTTTACATATTCTAAATGTTCTATATGTTAAATATATTCAATATGTTCTATATTTTCAATATTTTTTATATGTAAAATATGTTCTTAATGTTCAATATATTCAATATTTTTTATACGTTAAATATGTTCAATATATTCAATATGTTATATATGTTATATTTCTTCTATATGTTCAATTTGTTCTAAATGTCCAATATGTTCTATATGTTTATATGTTCTATATGTTTCATATATTCTATATGTTTATTTGTTCTATATGTTCTATATGTTCATTATGTTCTATATGTTAAATATGTTTTATGTGTTCAATATCTTTTATATGTTTAATATGTTCTATATTTTTTATATATTCTACTTTTTCTCTATGTTCAATATGTTTATAAATTTAATTTGTTCAATATGTTCAATATGTTTATAAATTTAATTTGTTCAATATGTTCAATATGTTTAATCTGTTCTACATGTTAAATATTTTCAATATGTTCTATATTTTCTATTTGTTCTATATGTTCAATATGTTTTATAAGTTTAATATGTTCTATATGTTCAGAATGTTTTATATATTCTATATGTTTCATATGTTTAATAAATTTTATATTTTCTATATGTTAAATATTTTCAGTATGTTCTATATGTTTTATGTGTTGTATATGTTCATTATGTTCTATATG